TGGAATGAAAGCGACTTTTTGCAACGAAATTGTACATAATGAACTTGGGAGTCGATCGGGACGGTCACACTAGTACGGCGCAATACGCAGTCGCTCGAATTCGCTGAAATGTGCGGGAATTCTCGAGCATCCCGCGAATTACAAAATAGCAAAGTATGTAGGACGCTAACTAAGAGTATTTAAGTAAGAATGTCAGTTAAAATGACGCTTTATTATGTGTATTACGCCTTTATATAATTAGTTTGGCGAAAGTACATGCTAAATAATCCGATACAGAAAACTTTATACTGTAAGATGGCGAGGTAAGCGGTGACACGGCCTACTTTCATTTGCAAAATGTTGCGCAATTTTAAAGAGCCAGAACCATAGGAATAGTGAAAGTATCGTTCAAATTTAGGTCATGCGAAATCCACGTGAACATGTTGCCTTGTTACAGGCTTGTCTTGGTAGGTAAAGTTACAACGGAGAGCTTATTTCATATTTGGATGACTGACCAATACAATTTTACATGTTTTACGGCTTGCATAGTTTATATACTGAAGTAATACCGATTCACAATAGCAATAAATTCAAATTTCGTATAATTCATGACAATTGTAAAAAAACTTTCACGTGAGGCACTAGTTTAGACTTCAGTTTAAGTAGGTACGGTAATTTATCGTTTTATAACCGAATATATAGTCCTACATGTATACAACTGCAGTTACGATACAAAACAGGTGTGACTAAGGCATTTTTCTCGCAACTGTTTGTCAGACTGCATACAATAGACGTAACGAATTTATATTAGTGACTCATACGTACAAGTGTTTGTGTTGAATTGAGTGTAATATCTATGAGTTATAAACGGCACGTATACAAACGTACCGTTATTTCTGACTTGACACAGTAAAAAGGTAACAGTTGAGGAAGACATACTGAATAAATTTAGTGTATTCATAGCAGGCCTATTTACCTACAAACTGCTCTACGAATATATAAATACTTTTTAAACGCTAATAAATAATTACGCAATTTATTCCCTTTGCGGCTTCGTTCGTCTATCCATAAAAATAAGAGAACTAACCTATCCATACTAATATTATAAATACGAAAGTATCTGTCTGTCTGTCTGTTCCCTCTTCACGCTTAAATCGCTGAACCTATTTTGGATAAAATTTGATATAGAATTAGTTCGAGTCCAGGGAAAGGACATAGGGTAGTTTTTCTGATATGAATCATCCTTTAGGGGGTGCAAAAGGGAGTAGACGTTTGTATGGGGCATCAATGACCGCTGAACCAATTTAGTTGAAATTTGGTATGAACATACTTTGATTTTCGAGGAAAGACATAGGCAACTTTGTTACCCCGACAACCGACATAAACGCTGGCAGAGCCGCGGGAAAAGCTAGACTGATTCATCAACGCAGAGATTAAACTGCAGTGGCTACAGACTTGAAATTATAATACTTTTTTATGTTGTAAACACCCACTAAGAATGGATTTTTGGTAATTTAAAAGTAAGAAACACAAAGTAAGAGATAATCACGCGAGCGCAATAGCTTGTTCATAAAAAAAGGATTCAACAAATTGTTACACAAGTGTTGAAGTCGAACCATGACTTGTTTGGTATTGGTAACTACATTTTAAAGAGTATTGTGTCTCTTAAAGCTTAACAACTGACCTCTTTTTGGCATTATTATTTGGGTTCGGCGCACAGTATAACATTACAAAGGCTATTATCTGTTTACTTTTAAGACCTGTCATCTACCTGCCACCGACCCTTGTAAAGAATGTAATTGTTTTCTAACTGGACAAAGAAAGCAGGTAAATTTTGGTAATAATAAACAGAGGAGACTAGAGAATTTGGCTAAGGGATTTTTCAAGTCTTGGATGGCAAAAAGGGACTAAGGGACAGTACCTGGGAATGGCTGAGTCGCATACAATGGGAGAGATGCTCAACTTATAGCAGTCCAATGCTGGCCATAGGCCTCTCTCATGCGTACACAGAAATAGAACTAAATAATATTTGAACAGGTGTAACAAATGTGCATTATAAATACGAAATAAATACTATTATGGTATGTGTATAAACAGAGGCACGTATTTTTATGATAGCCTTTACCATTATCCACGCTAAATATTATGACTCATGTCTTTAGTCATACATTTCACTGATAGTAAAAATTGCAATATACTTTTATCAACATTAAAAACAAACTATTCATGCTCATTACATTACATTAATATTTTAAATAATGAATGAGTTATTTAGACTGTTGAGGAAAAGCATAGACTATACCATACTTTTTACTGCAATAACCAAAATACACGAGGGCGAAGAAACAGACACTAACGAAAATGTGATAGTGACTTTCCATTAAAGGATTAATAAAATAAATGCTACATGACTATAGTCTCTTAGGAATAATCAGGAAAAAATCCTTTCTGTTATTGAATACAAACATTAAGGCACTGTCCATTAAAAAACATTAGGTTTAATGGTTAAACATTTAAATACTCTTTTTTATTTCTTTAAACAAACAAAATAAAGCAGTTACAGAAAATTGCCTTCAATAAAATCAATATGAAATGTTGTTATCCCCAAAACCCAACATTGCAGTTGAAACAAAGGAAGATAAGTCATGGAAATTCTTTTGTTATGTTAATAGCTCCATTAGTTAAAAGCAATAAGTTAATGACCTTGCCAGTTATTGAACGTTTAACTAATTTTCACATTACTAATGTACACACATTACCGTTTTTAATAATTAAATAAAAGTGTAAGTTAATAGTGAAATTTTAAATGTTATGTATCATCATCTATGCATACAATCACACGTAAATCTGCTAAAGGGTGGACAGAAGGCTATTAAATGTGTACATTTGCTAACTGCTCCTTAAAAAACAATTGCAAAACTTCTAAAGGCAGAAATATTCTCGAAAAATAACAAAACATTACATGTTATGACAAGGAGGTTGACAATTTATCATTTCAGATAACAACAAGCCCCCCCAAATACGAATTCCACCGAACTCTCGGATTATGTGTTTATTGGCAAGTTTATTATAGATAAATAATTTGGAATGGACAATTATATTGGCTTATGTTATCTTATGTAGATATCAAATAAAACTGGTGTATGTTCAACCTGGGCCTCAATTCTGCTATTTTATGTTCTGCTTGCTATTTTATGACTAAATATCGGTAGTCTACACTAACTCTGGCATTAACTCCTTACTGCGGTTAATGTTAAAAAATAACATGTCAGTTGCAAAGTAACACATATCAGTGAAAAAATAACTGATCTAAGTACATCTTCAGGTGAAAAATTAACACATGCCACAATATCTGCAGTAAAATAAACTAATAGGCAAAATAAACTTTACAATTACAGAATGTATAAGGCCAAATAATGTTCATATGGAGGTCATGGACTCGACATTGTCAATGTTTCAACATACATAATGCAAGGTTTTCTTAGAATGGCCCAAATTAACTGTTATCAGTTACGTTTTAATTTTAGATTTGAGAAATTATTCAAAAAGTTATTATGTGTAACTTCCATACTACTACAAAATAATTTTTAAGTAAGTTATAATTACAGCATTCAGTCTTAAGTTAACTGGTTTGCATTCATAGTTTATTTTATCATGAACTACCTTTTGCCCACAAAAGTGATCTACCTATCCCTTTTGAATCATATCTTTTGCTAGATGAAGATATCTATCGCCATTGGAGCATTCCCCGCATCGTGTGTGCAAAATTAAACAAACATTAACGTTTCACATCATCTTGCCCTTTCCGATTTTATTACGGGTCTGGGTAAGATTTTTAGTATCTGACCAAATGGACACGTGGAATAGACTTTAGAATGTTAATAAGAAACCAAAATAGAGTACTATGAGTACTATATTCCTTTTTAAGAAGTTTTTTGGTTCAACAAGTTGAAAATTAAAAGACACGTAATGCAAAGCATTTGCATGATCAAAAAAACCGATCTGTCATTAATTTAAAGTAATTTAAAAAGTTTGCTGGCTAAGAAATAATAGAATAGGATAATGTTACTCAATAAAAACCCTGTTCAGTTTTAGACTGAAGACTTTTTCATTGTTTGTTGAAATACAACAATTTTACTAATTCTAACAATTTTGATGATTTTTTGTGTTGAATTTGTTGTTAGGTACTTATATGTTTAAAAAAATGGCATTAGCTTGTATTTATTTACTATCAGCAAGGAAATAATAGTTCGATATTTTAAAGCACGTAACAGGAAGACAAACACAAAAACAAGCGAGTAGTAAATGTAGATTTAAGAAGTTCAATAATTTTCCTCAATAAGTGTACATAATTTATAACAAAAACCAGTCCAAATTGATGTAATTATGATGAAACAAGATTTCTTGGTCCAGACGTGAGAAGAAACAAATGAAAATACGTCCGTTATCTATGTTTTTATCGTTTGACTAGGTACCAAGAAAGTATGATAAGATGAATATCACTACTTTTAAGCGTAGAATACAGACGACGCGAATGTGAAAATCATTCGTATGGAGTAAATTTAGCACGGACATGCAGGTCGATCACTCAGACCCTACGTCACGCGCGCAGGCGTCCCGTCTATACACAGCTGTAAGATCAGTGACCTCGAGAAAATACCACGCTATCACGCGCGACCCTAACCTAAATACACACATTTTGATCCTTTTTCTCCACATTCTAAGATAGTATACTGGTCTTAACTGTAGAAAACGGGGCGTTACTTACTGCCAGGCGGGAAATCCCACACGTTCGAGCGAAAGTGGCCGCGATGACGCCTCGGGCCACAGTTGAAGTTTCATCATGATTTCACTAATATTCACCATCACGACACACTGTATATACTCCTATATTCATTTTAATGCTCTTTAAGCATTATTTCATAAATAAAAACACGTTACAAACGCGTGTTATACGCACTTTAACCACATGACTCGACAAAAACATTGAACTGAAAACACCACTTTTTTGAAAAGGATACACTTGAAGCCTCTGGCCCATGTCCTGTATTAAATTTGCGGCCTGCTGCCGATATGCTAACTCTTTATCTGCATCTAAACCGCATTTTCTGCTTGGAGAATTCAGTAGTTGATCTTTTGTAAAATACCATTTTTCCTGCCCACCAGCCATTGAACGGATGTTCCGACTGCGCGCGAGAAAGCACGATGAAGAGCAGAGATCCGTATATGTGCTTGAGTGAAAAAGGGATAGCGCTATGACAGCGGAGACCGGACATAGACCACGTTAACATTTGAGAGATTTAAAACTAGTATTCAGACATTTTGTATGCATGACACTGTTTGGTAGCACTAATTAAACATAAAAAATTGATAGTTTTTTTTTCAAATAACACTTTAACTATAGAACGATTGTCAAAATTTCAACTAAACTTCGTAATCTTGATAGGTATTCTCAATCGGACGCCATTGCAAAACACGGTGGTCAACGCTGTAAGGTCTCCGGTGACAGAATGCGGATCTGCAACAATCACAGGTAAAGTACACTGTTTCACTATGTTTCAATGAATGGTGTAGACGTAATTGTTTCTTTTGTGCATATTTTTTTTTGTGGATAATCAACTTTTAATGATAATAGAATACTTGGAAATTACGGACCTAAAGAGTCTGTCACACCGTGCAAATGGCCGACCCACCACTGTTTACAATACACTTTACTATTTTGTTGTGGAAATGCATTAGTTAATGAAGTAAATTACTAATCATTATACCCTAATTAGTCCCTAATTTTTGATAATATTATAGTGCCATTAAGGTCTTAATGAATATGGATTTAAATAATGAGAAAAGTTATTGACTACACCAGTGAAAAATTTCGCGGCTACGTGGATTTGCATTTGCACGACCCACGACCAAGACGAAGCGTAAACAAAAAAACTTAAATTACGCAATAGAAAGTGGCTCCTGCTAAAAATTGATTACAATTGTGTTTATGTTTTGACTTAAAAGTGTATTGAATACTGAAAACATGTTTTCTTTTAATAATAGTGAAAATGTTAACCAGCTGTCCGCTCATAATATTAGGATTACTGAACGTAAGTTTTAAGATTTGTGGTATCTATCATACTCTTTGATATAATATTGAATATTTATTGCTATTTAATTCCTCATGTGGTGTGGTGACGGATTAAGAATACGGAATGTCATCACCTTTATTCATCCTGTGGGGTGTCGTAAGAGCCGATTAGGGGAACAAACTGCGCATTACAACAGAACTGCAAAGAGACGGAAAGCTTGAAACAAACTCTATACCAACCCGGCCAGCGTGGTATAGTAGGCCAAACTCTTCATTCTAAGGAAAAGCCTATGTCCAGCAGTGGACTAGTAAAGGCTGTTGATGATTGATGAATTTCTCACTTTTAAATGTGTATTTTAAGTTACTTTTATTTTCTAAATCCAGGCGTTAATGGGCGGCGGTAGTCACTTTCCCATCAGATGAACCCTCGTAGGCATACGAGGCCTCTTCCAAAAAAAATTATAAAAATTTGTTAGGTACCTAAGTACAGTAGCAGCGTATTAAAGTAATTAGTGTGACTATTAGACTATTATGTAGATTAATGACAGCAACAAGTGAAGTTAAAAACCACATACCTAATTCATTATTAAAATTTAAAAAGTACATACTTAATCTACGGTTATTAAAATTTAAAACTCGCCACAAATTTTATGGCAATAACTACTCGGGACTAAACCATTCTGCGGACTTAATTTATGTATTACCCATTTCTTCCAGTTAATCCTTCATCCACAATGTCTCAACAGCCACGTCAGGTGATTCATTTGCCGAAGGTCAGAATGTTAAGCCGCGGAGGCCGATCCTCTTCGGGTGTACGGATCACCAATGTGAAATCCATTAAACCGCCAGATCCCGATGCAGTGAAGAAGCAAGAGGAAGATCGACTTAGGGCTCAGGTACTATTTCCTTACATAAGAAGTCCCCTGGCCGCGTTTGTGTCTGTATGAAAGCGATAAACTCAAAGGCTACCGAACGGATTTTTGTACGGTTCTCACCAATAGATAGTGTGATTCCTTAGGAAGGTTTTTTTTCTTTTTTATGTTAGGGGGCAGACGAGCAGACGTTAATGTGTAATGGTTTAGGTGTATAATCCATGATGATTTCATAAAAATGGTCTGACATATAACGATTATTGTTGAAGTGGTCGCAAAAATCTAATCACGGTTACCGAAATCCACGCGGGCGAAACTGCAGGCGGAAGCTAGTTTTATAACAAAACTTCATTAGTGTCTTTGTCACCCTTGAAGTATAAATTTAAATGGGACTATTAGATTCCTAGACCTATGGGAAAGTATCCATACTACGTGATTCAAATTTTACGATTTTTTTTTGCACTCCGTGACCGTGACGTGAGTAGTATATGCCTAGACCTCCCCCTAGTTTGCACGAAGTATGATTTATAAATATAATTTTAAATCAGTTTTGGCTAATAGAAAGTTAAATAAAGATATTTGGCTCATATTCTTTATCTGTTTTTAGTGATACAGCGCTTGTCGTAAGGTATAACGCCTAAGTCGCTACCCACCCCAGTTACTGTGAGAGTTACTGCTTAAAAAGGAAAATCATTGATAACCTTCACAGATTTGCCGAAACTATTTTTTTTTTATTTTAATGAATAACCATTGACAAACAGGTCTGAGGTTAAATAATAGGTTTTTTTCATGCTCACACGACTATTTGCACGATACCCATGCCTAAGAAACCAGCTAAAAAAAATATTGTGTCTATTTGTTCTGCGTAATCTTCTAAACGTCTGGACCGATTTTGATAATATTTTACTACCAGGTACCTATATATATAACTTAAGCTATTTTTCCTCTCAGAAAAACCCTTTAAAATATTGACCAGTCCGGGAATCGAACCCACTAAGGCAGCGCTTTTCAAATTCCTGGTATTATATAAAAAAAACATATGTGTCACTTCTAATAAAATTTAAGTCTTACACTGCCAATTTTTTTGTAGTAAGACTAAGTTACAACAAACGCAAATATCATTACGCTATGCACCAGTTTGCCACTTTATCACTGCTTTTAAGACCTCGGTCAGTTCTGATCTAAAAGAAAATTCATTATAAAATTCGTTGATCCAAATACCAGTAGCTACGGTATTATACGAACTGCAGTGCCTGCTGGAAAGAAAACGACCGAATCCAGGCAGCAATGCGTTGGACTGCACCTTCAAAGACTACAATGCTATCTGTGCACTCTCCATATCGTCTCGGACGTTAGTGACAATTTTTTTTATATCCCTGTCCTAGTCCAATCACAGGACGGGCACACAGGTACTTGATCCCGGCCTTCTCTAGTTACTGTCGCAGTCCCGCTACCCCATCTGAGGCCAGTGGTACCCACTAAAAATTCTCAAGGAGGGCAGAAAATACACCTACCTCCGATTGTGCCGACCACCTTTAAATAAAATTAAGAATAGAGCAAAAAGATTATGATGGTTTTTTTTTTTAATTTTCAGCTTCAACAAGAAATAGTATCCCGTTCTCGTACATGTGCTTACAAGAGTTACGAGTGCACGCTCCCCGTGTTGTCCGGACGTCAGTATTGCTACAGGCATATACTACGAGACCCCACCGCCCCTTACAGACAGTGTGCACACACATACAACAATGGGGAAAGATGTCCTATGCCTGCCCCTGATGAGCAACGAGAGCCTAGAGACCCTGGGTAAGTTAAATTAAGTATTTACCTCGACTAAACGAGAAAGACACCATCATCTCCTTCTTTTGACTGCCTCGGTGGTGCAGTGGTAGCGTGTGCGACTGCTGTGCTGAGGTATCGGGTTCGATTCCCGGGTCGGACCAAATATTTGTATGATTTGCTAATACTTGTTTCGGACTTTGGGTGTTTTATTCTTATGTGTTTATTATTCTATCATCACATAAGAGATAGAAAGAGATACGATATACCATTATTATCACACATACGTAGCGTAGTGTATACGTAGTACATGGCTTATATGAATGATTCATTTAGCAGTTTTATAGGTATTGCAAGAATAATTCATTTAAAGGTTTTTATCATGTTAAATGTACATCTTACTTTGTCGGAGATGTACATTTAAATAGATTGAGATTAACAAATAATTTATGTACGTTTATATACAATTTATTATTGGTGGAACATATTACCCTCAAAAATACAATTACATATTTTTTTTTAATAAACCATTACTCGCCTTGCGCTCTACACTATTCATAATTATTTACTATATGTATCATTATTAAAAAACTGTATTCTTTCAAACCTTTAAGAAAAGAGCATACTCCTTCCTAAAAGGCCGGCAACGCGTTTGTGACTCATGAGTTGCAAGCGTTAATGGGCGGCGGTAGTCACTTTCCATCAGGTGACCTGTCTGCTCGTCTACCCCTTCTTACATAAATAATAATATGTAAGACTTAACTCGACATATTAGCTTTATGTGAATTGATAAAACATTACTGAGGGTGTGGTGTCCGCTTACAGGTTGTGCTTCGAACACGCGCGGGCCGCGCTGTTGTCGCGCCAGCGCAGCGCCGCGCCGCCACCGCCCGTCGCCACCACCGAGACGCTGCTCAACCAACTACAACACTATGTCAAGTCGGTACTCGCTACTTACATATTAAACTTGACACAATCCATGTGTAGTATATGTTTGCAAGAGTCTACTTAGAGCTTAGATATGTAATGTTCGTCTTCACAGGGAACGCATAATTAAATTTAAAGTATCATACTACTTATCAACCTTTTGGTTTTAACATGAAAAATGAGTTTAAACTCACGGGGTTTACTAGAAGTCACTGCATAATTTCACACTTGCACTACCATCTGATCAGCTCCAAGATACTAAGTTATAGTATTATCGTTCGAACTATATTTACATACTAAATTTAATTCAGATACAACGGTTAGTAGGTTAAAGTTGTCTTCTAAGATTTGTTTACATAAGTAATTGAGTGAACTTTACAAACTCATATAAGTGAAGCTAATAGAAGAAAGCTTTAAATCACTGTTATAATTATTATTAGTGCTAACATAATTAAAATATTGTCACATTTCATTTGTTATAATTATGAATTTCAGACCAGAGCGGCCGCGTACCACGTCGTGTGCGTCATCGGTGTCAGTAGTCAGCGATCCCGGTGAGCAAGAACCAGTTACGCCGCAAGCAGTCGATCCATTTAGTAAGTACTAATACATTTTACCCCTCTTTCCCTTCAGAAATCCCTTCGGATACCCCCACCGGACGACCGGTAGGGTAGTTATGTCGGGCTCAAAACGACTAAAAACCGCATGCCATTTCGTATACGAGTAGCCGGGGAACGAGGTGTTACCTCTTATAATAAAGATCTAACGTAACTTAACCTATGTGTAATTACCTTTTCTAAGTAATGGAATCTTTGAATTTGGATTACACACCAACTGAAAATATTGACTCACATCAAGAAAATGATGATATTGTTAGACTAAAATTTAGTGTTTAAATAACACTGAAACAAAAAGAACTTCTGTTAGTTAAATTTCATTGATCTATATTGGTTTGTGTACACTTTAAAAGCTCAAAAAATACTGCACCGATTGAGTTATTTTTTACACGATATATAAACTGCTTCCCTTCAGTTCCTCATTTCGCATCAATGCAGCCACAGTATGTTTGTTTATAACGATAATAATTAATTAGCTCATTACGGATGTCCATTCAATTTGTATTGTGGTAAGCCGCACGAGCTAACCGAAGATCCGAGACTGATTATCGAGAGCGTCCGAGAAATTTGCCTAGTAAATAAGTTAAGAAACCCTAGTACATAAGTTACTTAAGTGCACCACTAATTCTATGACCTACTAACACCTGACCGTCAATGATCGTGTCAAGGTCAGAATTGCATGGATCGGAAGACACTACGCGCCCGCCGTTGGTCGTGTCAAGGTCAAAAGCACATCGATCTAGAAACGCATTACTATCTCAAAGTCACGAAGTCTCGAAGTCAAATTGACGATTACAATGTGCGCTTGCTAGTGATTGGGCCAAGGTCGCAATAGCTTCACAGAGACAAAAATGTACTGACTACGAATGTAATGACAAAACTGTTGTACGAGCAAACCTGTACATTTGTAGTAGTTGACGAAATTAGCCTGCGTCCACGTATTTGAATTGCATATTAACTTTCATCAACAGCCTATAATAGTCCACTTCTGGACATAGGCCTCTCCTTAGAAAGGAGGTTTTGGCCTACTATAGCACGCTGGCCAAACTGGTTAGTATAGGGATTTTTTCAAGTTTTCCTTCTCTTTGCAGTGTTGTTGTCCAGCGTAGTTTGCTCCCTTAGTCGCCTCTTACGACACCCACGGGGTGAAGGGATGGTGTCTGGTCACTTCGTATTCTTAATCCGTCACCACGCGGATAGGCACTAATTTTACATACTTAATTTCTGTACATAACTTAGTACAGTCCGATTTTCCAAGCGTTTCGATGCGTAGAACCCAATAATAGACAGCAGCGGGACGTAAAGGAGCCCGGAGGCAGGGCGACACTCGACACGCATACCTATTAGTGTGTGAGTTACATCCGTACTAGACATGGCACAAAATCCCAGTGAACTGTGGTTTATCATTCGATTTTTGCGTACGTACGGTTTGCTAGGCATAGGTAGGGTAGACGCTATTAAACAGTAAATCTAGTATTTTTTAAATTATTATGTAGGGAACGGTAGCTATATAAAATAAAATAATTACTAGATTTATTGTTAAATAGGCGAAATAGGGTCTTTATGCGTCATTTGAAAACAGCTTATTGGCAATAACGCATGAATAAGTAGTAACCCTAACTAGCGTACCAAAAAAATCGAATGATAAATCACCATTCATTCATTCCTAGGTCTGAGGTCTCGGGTTCAATTCCTGGGTCGGACCAACTGTTTGTATAATCTGAAAATATTTGTTTCGGAATTTGGGTGTTTTATATGTATAATATGTATGTATTTACAAAAAAAGTATATGGGTATTCTATCAGTCAATCTAGCTTTCATAGTATAAGCTCTGATTGGTTTGAAACTAGATGGCGTTGTGTGTCAGATGTCCGAAAATATTTTTAGTATTAATGGAAGAACTTTTTGCACGTTTTACAGAGCAGATCGACGCGACCGCAATAAACGCGGCGTACTCCTCGTCTGTCATGGAGTGCGCCAGCTGCAGCGACAGCGACGGCGACAGCGTCACGCTCGGGCCCGACGGGAACTGTCGCGCGGGCGACCACGACGATCTGTCCGATGCTGAGGATGCTCCTTGTGAAGAACAACCTTTGTGGTAACGTAACATTTTGATTGACGTATAAATTAAGGAAGAAACAGATTAATTTGAAAATAAAAAGAAAATCGACTGCAATTTAGTGAAAACTAGTCTTAATGGAACAAAATATTTTTGAATATTTTCAAACTCATTTATGATACCGAAGTTCTCTTTAAAAAACTGTGTATGGAAATATCATGGACATTTGTAGCATATTTATTGTGTATGAGTGTCTCGTAGCTTTCCTAACTCGACTATTTAATGTTATACATCCATTTATTAATTTATGCCGTCATGTGTCTACAATAAAATGAAATGAATTGTGCATGGTCTTAGGCACGCGGGCGTATTCACGGCGGAGGAGGCGGTGAGCGAGGCGCAGAACGTGCTCGGCCTGCTGCAGGGCGCCTACCTGCGCCAGCTCGAGCGACTGCGCGTGCTGCTGCAGGCCGAGCGCCTCAACTACCTCCGGGGGGTCAAGACTGAGAAGGAACAGTATTGTGAGTACTACCACCTCTATTTACGACCAGCTATTGCTTGAGATATTTTCGTATTTCGTGTTTCTATCGTGAATTCGTTCATCCCTTATTTTACCCTCCATAGGACTGAAATTTCAGAAACAAGTATTTGCTTACGACTTAAAAAACATTAGCTGCCAAAATTTCAACCTACTAGCCACAGCAGTTTAGGCTCTGTGTTGATGAATCAGTCAGTATTTTATATGTATAAGCGAAAATATGCACTGACGATATGCTGATGCAAGAATCTAGCCAATGCAAAACCCCTCGAGAAATTATACTCGTATAAATATCTCCATTGAAGACTTGCAACCTGACCTTTATATTATATATATATATATATAGATTATATATATCAATTATAATACCTGGAGGAATGACCAATAGATCTCAAGAATGTTAATATATTTAATGCAAAATTTAAATTAATACTGATCTATGCTGTTTAATGTTCATGTTTCAGTTTCATTTTCTTTTATATTTTTATTTACTACATAACTTTATGTATAATTTACTATATACTTTAATAAAACAGATATATTACACAAAAATGCTTAGCTTTAGAATATTATTATTACGATTACATAAGATATACATAGTGTGTTTATAAACCAATAGGCAGTATAAACAGCCAGGCCCGGAGCGGTCCCCTGACTGTGCATGAACGGCGCCAGCTGCGGAAACTAAAGGCCTACGCCAGCTACCATAAGAAACATGGCGTCGACGCCGTACTCGCCAGGAAACTGCTGCATAAAAGGGCTAAGGTAATCTCATTAATTTGATCATAATTTATAAACTTTCAAGTTTTCCTTCTCTTTGCAGTGCTGTTCTCCTGCGTAGTTTGCTCCCTTAGCTTAGCTTAGATAGACACTCCGTATTCTTAATCTTTCACCACACAGATAACCAAAGAGAAAGAAACTTGAAACAAACCCTATACGAACCCGCCTGGCCAGTGTGGTATAGTAGGCCTAAACTTCCTTTCTAAGGTGAGCCCTATGTGTACAACGGTGGACTGTTATAGGCTGTTGACGATCATGTATTTTTCTTAATCATATTGTCTTAGGTACACAGGCTAGTACTAGTGTCTGTAATTTAGGTATAAAACATTATTTTGATTATTTTAATTCATTGAAAGTATATAATGTGATTAAGACAAAGCATCACGCCAAAATTGTTACTTCATAACTTGGATTTCATCTTTAATAAGAAAACTGATTTTTATTGTTGTTCAGCTGCCGCATTGGTCTAGTTTTAAAATACAATTGTTGGTTTTCGTAGAATTCAGTTCATTAATAGTGAGTAAAGTTACCACAAAGGTAATAGACATTTTAGTACTTCATTTTTTAGATATAAGATACCTATTTTAGACATAGTAATGCATATACTAAATATTTTGTCCAGGTCAGTGATCCATGTCCCAATCGACCGATCCCTTCTCAGGGGCGCTGCACTTTCACAGAAGGAGGAGTGCGATGTCCGCTACATGTTGTACCTGCATCAAAACACTGTCTCAAGCACATACTGCATGATAGACAACAGGTAATATTAACCAAAACACTGTTATGTTTTTATTAAGGTCATAGAACACCAGTCTGGTATATGGATTTAAACTACCATAGTAATTGCCACTTGATAAGTTGCTGTAAATGGTTTTTATTTTCTTGAATTATTTGCCGATATTTCATCGCTATTGCCTGGATAGATGTTATTAACTTTGAACTATGTGTTACATAACAGTTAAGAGTAATGACTCTCGTTATTACACAAAAAATACAAAATTCTTTGGACAGTGAAACATTTTTATTAAGTAATGATAGTTTTGTGTTAAGATTCTTTGTTATTAAGGTCGTGTGATAAAGGCGACAAATATAATGCATTATTTTGTGTCCAATTATTTCTTGTATATAATTGATAGCGATATAATTGATGTTGCACCTTATTACTCAGAAAGTATAACATGACTGTATTACATTAGATATGTCCGTATGTGGCAGGTGTTATTCGCGGCATGCGGCGACATCCGCGGCGTGTCGTCGTGCCGCGAGCCCGTGTCGAAGCTGCCGCTGCCGTCTGCCACGTGCCGCTACCACACAGACCCACCTGTGTATACTGTGTTTACACTTAAAGTAAGTCTGTCTACATATTATAACACATATTTATAAAGTTAACATTGGGCTATCAAAACTTTTTTTCAAATGATTTTTGTATAATCAACCAAGAAAAACAAGTTTCAACGAAAAACTATTTAGGAAGTACTACTTATTAAATACAGAGCTATTGGTAGATTTGAAATTAACAATATAATACAAACCGCTTTAATCAAATCTCTATGACAAATCTTTATATACAATTTTAGATTGGACTGCCCAGATATTGGCCAGAGGTATATTGGCCATTTTTTCTTCATTTAAATTTGATTGGCTACAAATATAAGTTTTGTTTAGCTAAGAAATACTTGTATATTTAGCTAAATAATAAATTTTAACTTCCTCTTACAGAAAGACGAATCGGACAGTGATACAGAATCCCACTCAACATCAGACGCTGAATCCCATCATACAGAGATCACAGAAGAAGTTGCACTAACCACCGACCACTCTGTTGATGACAGACAGGACATCGGCGAGGTGATAATACCGCCGGATACATCGTACGAATGACAAATGGCCCCCCTAGATCCAGCTGATGTGCTGTGGTTGTTAGATCAAGACGAGACGAATGAACTAGAAACATGCTCAGGAAATATGGTGTGATTAAACTGTGTTAGTGTGGTCAGAACCATTGTGATATCTTTATATAGTTGAACATTTCCTATCTAACGTAATTATTAATTCGTGACTGAATTAGTAAAGGCTTAACGCTTCTCTCGAAAAACGCTTCCAACTCAGATGGATATTGTAGTTTGTAAGCTTTTAATTTTAGAGTTGTAAATGCTTGAAAGTCAAGACTTTCTAATTTTCAATCATTCACAACACTAAATTTGACTTTTTAATTGCCAAAAGGTCAATTTAAAACTGTAACCAAAGCCTTGACGGTATAAATACCTAAGTTACGATGTCTTGAACACAAAATTTGTTTATTTTGACTATTGACATCAGTGATTTGCTATAAATTAGCAGATAAAGAATACAAACCTTAACATTTATATGGTAGCATAAACATAGCCATGGCTTTTTGGGCTGTAGCCCAAACCCCCAAAGCGTCTCTTCAGTGGCAAACGTATTTAAGCTAAGACACAGAATATTCCTAACACTTCTACCTATTCAGATAATATTTATTATCAACAGCCTTTAATAGTTCACTGCTGGACATAGGCCTCACCTTAGACATAAGGTTTTGATCAACGCTGGCCGGATGGGTTGGTTTGGTTCAAGTTTTCCTTCTCTTTGCAGTGCTGTTGTCCTGCGTAGTTTGCTCCCTTAGTCAGCTCTTACGACACCTGCGGGATGAATAGGGGTGGTGACTCTCAGTATTCTTAAAGCGTCGCCACACGGACAGGATTTTATCTATGGGTATTATAAAATAATGTGATATTGCATTTCTGATGGTATTTTCTCTGTAGCTGTATAAACAGCTATTAAAACTTTTATTGTGTGTGAAGGATAAGTCTAATTGTGTTTGTTATTGTAGAAAATCTACTTATAATAAGTGATTAGTTAATAAATGGTGATAAATTTAATGGTTAACATATTGTCTATGATTGAATTCTACCCATTACGCTACTGAAAGAAAATATTTAAAATTTAAGTTAAATGTGATCTGAAATGTAAAATAAGTTTATACATTTCCGTTTACTTATAATAAATAAAATCTAATATAAAAAAATCTCGTGTCACGGTGTGCGTGGTTGAACTCCTCCGAAACGGCTCGACCGATTTTCGTGAAATTTTGTGTGCATGGTAGGTCTGAGAATCGGCCAACATCTATTTTTCATACACCAATTTTTTTTTTGACCAAAAAAATTGAAATAATGTATATGGCAAAACAACGTTTGCCGGATCAGCTAGTAACATATAATATCAAGATATTTAACTACATTTTGACTTGCTGTTTAAACCAATTCGTAATTGCTATAAACAATATTCTTGGTAACCTGACGTTAAGTCCCGGTTTACTTATCTAAGTAATATCGCGAAAGTTTTTAAACCAATGTTTCTTCTATTTTACATCTTAAAACTAGATCCTACGCTATTAAGATTTATGTAGATCTATCTATAAAAGTATTGATGTTATTTGAATAAGGTATGATTTAATTATAAATAAAAGAACAAAATTTTTTTCATGTTGGGTTGTTTATAAGAAACAATTAAACCCTGTCCTACAGCTCTTTAGAACTGAGTACGACAAATTTAGTTGTTTACTCAATTGTAGGAGGTTACATTGGAAGATGTAAGTATAATATACTTTTGCCTGCGGTTTTGCTCGTGTATATATACGTAACTAGCTCTTTTCGAAGCCCGGCTAAGTCTGTATGCATAATATTGCCATGACAACCGATAAATAAACTACTGTGTATTGTGTACATAAACTATCAGGCAAGAATTGATTGATGAAATAGTCGCCCGCTTTCGTCGTCTCTTTAGTTCCAAAGTGATAACTTTTGGTAATATTCTCTTGTTCATTAAACTCTTTAAAAAACATCTTATAGATATCATCAACAGCCCTTACTAGTTCACTGCTGGACATAGGCCTCTCCTTAAAAAGGAGGTTATATATAGGTGTAGATAGATAAAAGGCTCAAAAATTATATTAGTTATATCAAGCACACGATAGAATTACAATTGTTGCCTGTTTATTTTAAGCTATATTAATGTATTATAAGGACCCAGAACTAATAAGAAGGAATCTCAAAAAGGATGAGGTACCCACTGTGCGCTATTCACTCAAGTATTGTTACACTAGAATGTGAATTATTTTATTGTGATATGAAAATCCAAAGGTTTATTAAATACTTATAACATGTTGTTGACTAAAATGTTTTAAATTTAGTTAATTATGTCAGTAACTTCTTAAGTTCATGAAACAATATCTTAAAACCAATTTTTTTATTAATGAACTAAAAAAAGAGAATTCATTTTTATTTCTGATTGTACGGTAATATCAACTAAAGTATAATAAAAACCTATACATACTAAACTTATTGGTTTAATTTAAATTTAAGCTTGTAAGCCTTTGCTAAAACTCTATTTTCGAAGCTATTTTAAACAATACATAATTATTCCTAATCCAATGAAATACGTTAGATACGTTGTGCATTTAATGTAGATTAAAATTACTCTTTACAGCATCTCGTTAAAAATAATATTTTAGAAGATAATAGAGGTTTAAAATGCGGGCGCAAAACAGCCGTCGCCGAGTCGGGCCTTTAGTCCGTCCCGGGTGGCAGGGCCGGCAGGATCGGAGCGGGCCTATAAATATTGCATATAAAGATGTCCTGTAGTATAGTCCTAACATAATATTAGTATAATTAATAACTCGACACTGACACCACATTATTAGTATTAGCAGCATCTACATTGCAAACGTGCGAAGCCGGGGCAGATTGATTGGTAATAAAATAAATAAATATAAACGGGCCTGTTGGTCCAAGGTAAGTGATCCTGACTGCTAAGCCGGAGGTCGTGGGTTCGATTCCCACCTAAGACAAATATTGTGTGATGAGCATGGTCATTGGTTCTGTGCCTGGATACATTACAATGTATCTATAATATATATGTATTTAAAAATATATAGGAGTGTATAGGTACCTAATTAGGTGCTATCCTAAGTATGGGATGGGAGTGCGTCGCGCGCCTAGTTAGGTCCGGCGTCGATCGGTGGAGATCAGGGGCATCCCCAGAATAGAGTGCCTGAGTCCTCTTTTTTTTTTGTGGGTCTGAAAGCCCGCATAGAAGAAAGGTTCACGTCTTTAAGCACTAAACACTGGTGTCTCGGTCCTGGTACTCAATGTAAGTTGTCTACTTTTTACATTATTTTCTGTTACATGTTTATAAGACTCCGCGCTAACGGGCTAACGAACACAGCCATCGGAGGCTGGCGATGGCGTCGGTGATCACCGCACTATTGTAACAAGTGGTATACACTCACGCAGCGGCGTTGCTAGGCGTGGGCGAAGTGGGCCTTCGCCCACGGCCTTGTACTGCGGGGGGCCTCGCGAGACTCTTTTAAATGCGATGGCCAAAGACTTTACCACAGATGACTAATTAATTTGATTACATTTACGCTCGAAGTGTGTTTGTTTCGAGCCTCCTAAGAAGCCCGATCTTAAGTGCGACTGCGAGATCATTACTACCTTTAAAAACCGTGTCCGTTAGTTTAACGGAAAAGCAGACTTTTCAGACATTAACAACATTGAGTAGGAGAAGTTTTGGGGCCCTAGGCTACTACTAATTAGGCATTATTTTGTGAACGTGATGGAAAATCCCTTTGGATTACCAGCCCTTTTGAGTAGAAGTTATGGGTATTTGCTGCTTTCTCTAAAAATCTGCCCGACGTCCGGCCGCAGGCGCTCAGCTCTGGGAGGAACTGGACCATGTGATTTCAGAGCCCTCCCGTAGTAACGCCTCGCCTAACTAGGTCCTATCCCGGAAGATGCCGTAGGCGTCCCCGCCATTTGGCCCAGTTACTACCTATGTGTTGTGTCAATACCGTATTTTGATGCGATTCGATTTGCTAGGACCGCCCATTAGACACCCACGTGGGACATTTCCCTTGCGCGAATGCGGACTGAATATTACAACAATTTTGGATTTTTGTACGATATAGTTTAAAATCTTTGCCAAATAACGAGCTTTCTAAGCATTGTAACTCGATTTAGGTGTAGTACTTCAAGATGAAGAAAGAAAGGACATAGAATCTTATTAAAGAGACGTACTTGTAAGCACAGATTCCGCAGAAAGAAGTATTTTTAAGTTAAAAATGATTACAACTACCTCAGAAACTGTAACAAGTAGGTCCGACTGTCAGCTTTAGCAATACGGAAAGTAGCAGCTGATTTAGGTTAGCAGTACGCAAAGCTGATTTAGCTGCAAAAATCTACAGTCTACCAGTGGACTTCAGTAAAGCAAAAAGCCGAATAAATTACTTTGGCAAGAAAATTAATCAAGCAAGTTACAAAATAAAACCTTTTTTCAAATCTATATGCTTTCTAATATTCTGCCATATCATGAGAAGGTACGTCGTGTTAAAGCATGTTTGGTAAAATAGAGGTATTGGGCACCTATGTCTTGGGAAAGAACGAAAGGGGCCTCGCTGATGCGACTTTTCCTACGTCGACATTACTCCACGCTACGCCTCTGCACTCACGACTCTGTGATGTCCGCGACACGCCGTCGGTGGCGACTACTTGCTCCTTATAAACGCCAACACTCAAAACTCATGCGTCACCACCTCAGCAGAAGGAGAGCGGAGTCTGCAGTAGTACCGGCCGGCTTCTCTTGCTAGCCGGTACGCCCGTTATCAGTCGCGTGTCAGTTTGGTGCAACACAAGATTACTCGCGATTTATTAATCTAATTTATTATATTACATATAACCATACAAATTACATATAATTACATTAATATCGTGATGGAATGCTGCAGCAATAACATGGTACCTTGGTACCATGGTACTTTATTAAATTTAAAAATTATTATAACTAAATCAATATAAAATTTAAGT